TAAGTCATTAGGGTGTATATAATGATTTGGGAAATATTTAATAATATTAAATAGCAAAGCAAGCATATAGTTATAGTTTAAAATATACAATAATTAGGTGGTTTATACACTTATGTATGAGCATTATACAGGGTGTGATCAAAAAGTGAGTAAAGTTTTTAATTGACCACTCGGAATATTGTTCCTCGAGGCGAGATTTTTTTTTGCACTATATTACACTTATGCTTTCTGGCTTAGATAAATTTAGCCCCTAGGTAATAAGCCTCCTGCTGTTGTCTCTCTTCCATGATTAATAGAATAAAATTACCACATTACCGTGTGCTTTGCCACGCCATGCTTATGTTTTCTGGCTTAGATAAACCTAGTTCCCTAGGCAATAAGCCTTCTGCTCTTGTCTCTCTTCCATGTTTACTCGAATAAAGTTTCCACATTACCGTGGAAATCTTCTCCATTTATTCCTAAGAAGTGATTTTAGTCGTTTAAATTCTCACACTGTGGTTGTTGATGCTTTCCACTTACTGTACTTACTTTATAAAAACTATATAGGGTGTGATCAAAAAGTAACTAATATTGTCTGCACTGTATATTGTTCAACGAAGTGAGTCTTTTATTTGTATTTCTATTATACTTCCTATAAGAATACCTATCGGACGTCAAATGGCCAGATCTGAAAAGATTAAGATATTTCACCATGAAAGCCTATGAATTAATGAACCTCGAGGACATACCAAAAATATATCATTATCTCTTCCTAGAACTTCCTAATCTCTTTGACTCTTTGGGTCATAGATGCTTATGGACGAAAAACTCTTCACATTCTCAGTAACGAAACCTGTAGAGCTATGTACTACGACCAGTTTAGATATTCCTTCACAATGCAGATTAGAAGAACAATTATCGTGATCCGTTACTCCGTTTGATACTCTGCCATTTCAAACTGAAATATTTGTAGAGTTCATAAAGTTTTGATTTTAGTTTTTGTTATAGTATTCGTTTATTATTTTTCATGTATCCAGATTTACTACTTACACGAATATGTAAATAAATTAAGTTCCCCAAAAGTATGTATGGAGCGAAAGGGCTTTAATAATATATGAAGGTACGATTTACGAAAATTGCGTTAATGCTATCAGAAAACTAAGTCGTAAAGTATCTCATCTATTTGTTGCTCCTTCAACAATTAGACCCTCGTCACAAGGAATCCAACATAAAATACAAAATGTCAGCAAAAAATTAACTTGCGAATGGAAGTTTAACTTAAAAGGATAAATGGTTTAAATGTAATTGAGGCTAAAGTCATTCCTACCATTTGTTAGCCTTTTTTCTTGACAATATATGACTTCTTATTATGAACTTAAGATTCACTCACTCAAAACATGGCATTTTTTGGGGTAACACATTTCTGCAGGCACAGACGGTACGGTCTAGGCATATGCATAAAAAACAAAACCTTTATCAAGTAAATTATCAGTGAGTATAAAAAGTGTTTGGGGTTGGCAAGGAAAAGCAAGAGGCAGCATCAAAATGTAGTGTTTATCCTTTAAGAATGTAATTCGCAAATTCGTAAAATCAATAGAAACTTTAAATTTATCCACATTGAGACTTTTTCAGTTCCACTGACTACTGGCTTCCACCTTCCACCTATTGGCAATGATTTTCATTTTATTCAATTGAACGTTAAATTTGGCATTTATAAGTTTCGCATTACGAGTATTTCTTCGACTTCGAATGTAGCCCGTTTTGTACGATTGTATCCTTAAAGTGCCCGTATAGCAAACAGTGGCTAAAGTTGAAATGTCACAAAGGATATTCACAAATTTGAATTCGAGTTGGCAAAACGTTGTTGTGAAGCCTTGATATACCGAAAATAGTTTCTTTAGCGCCAACCGGCAAAGTTGCAAGGATATTGAAGGATAAGCAGGAAAGTTACTTGCCAAAGAAAAAAAAACAGAAAACTTATGTCAATGCAAGAAAATAACTGCTTGGCGTAGAAATTAGGAAAAAAGACAGAATTTATGTATTCGACGATATTAAAGCATAATTCTTAGCTTTATTCCACTTGTAAGTTGTGTAATTGATTTTGATATTATCTAAAAAAGTTTCATTAAATGAATAAAGTTTCATTCATAATAGATTATTTCATTAAGTGTTTCGTAACATTATTGGGTTAAGTAGTTTAATGTAAGTGACTTGGAAGAGTGACAACGTTGTGGGATGTTTAAAAATTAATATTAAATAAAAGCTTTAATATTTCTCTCATAGGTATTAAAAAATATATTACTTTCAGTCTCAAGTAGAAGAAAATTGATCTAATTAACATTAAAAAATATTGTCTTTTTCACTGGCGTTACAATTCAAGTACAGCCATTACCTTTCTTACAATTTTCCTTCATTCTTTAAATTTTTTTTTCAATTATTTCACTGCCAGTTCTTATCCGATCATTTTACTTTTTTTAATACAGATTTTTGTACATATCACTCAGACCTGATTTTCAATTTTAAGTCCGTGTTTTTTAATAAACCAGACCCTAAATATTTGTTCTTATACAATACTAAGCTTCTTCCACTCTTACCGTAACAATATACATATAAGTTACTTATTTTGCCATAACATATTATCCTGTTCCCACATAGTCTAGTACTCCATTATATGCGACCTTGTTGCGTACTGGTCTTCTCTAAACTCATCACTTGACTGGAGACATGGTCTTCCCTTAAGTTTTCTTCCTTCAGGTGTTATTTCAAATGTCTTTTTCGATTGAACGTCGCCACCCATTCTCACAACAATACCCATTCTCATATGATGTCAATTTTCTACATGAAGTCAGTGTCTTGATATCATTCATTCGCCAACTCGTAAAGGATCAAAGATTTTATAAAGAATAAGGGTCTCTCAGAAACTCTTAGTGTTGCTTCATCTATCTATCTTCTCATTGCTTCCTGGGCATATAGTGACACCAATTGATAATAGTAACGCTTTGTCTGATTTTAAAGTTGACATCATAGTTGTTAGTTATGATGAAAACAGGTTAGATGAAATTCTTGACACAGAGTCGCGGTCAAAAATTTACAACCCGGGATAGGCTTTCAAATGATTTCAGGAATTTGATAATAAATTTTTACTTAAACAATTATAATGATTATAAATATCTATAAATGTGACCTTTCGATTAATTTCTTGAACTGAAGCCCCTCCTAATTACGTGTCTGCCTTGACAACTTCGAAAATATAGTGGTTAGCAACCAATACATTTACAATGGTTTAAAGAGCACAATAAGAAGTTGTTATTTTAGCTGACTTATCAAATTTATTTATCGAATGGTTGTCTAAATCATTTATAAACTTATTTAATTAACAAACAGAAATCAAGCTTCTTTGCAAGACTATACGGATGAAATGACTCTCTGCAATCAGGAAAGCATAAACCAACAGATTAATCTTACTCAGCTCTTACTATCGAACACAATAATCCCACTGACAGAACATTGTCTCTTGGGTTGCCAACCACTTACGAGCTTCTTTCAACAATTACTATAGTATCTGTGAGTCGGTAGAAATAGATGGAAATGTAAGTCTACTTTTTCAGAAAATAATAACAATTATTAATGGTCAATATATAATGAACCATTATTGATAGCGGTGGTTTTTCAATTCTTTTTATTGAATTAAAGAGAGATATGTACTTACTCGTGATATTTAAAGTATGATACTTTTTTAAGTTGATTTAAAATTTTTCTAAATAATATTGTATTTATTCCTGTGTATATTGTACATTGTTTACTAATTTGTTTTTTTATAACTAAGTTAAATAAAAATTTTTTAGCAGAATTCCCTTTGATGTGAAATTTGTTCAATTAGTAAACTGCTTTTTTGAGGACAACCAGACAAACGTTTTAGTTCATCCAGCCGTGGAAAAGTATTTGAAAGGTTTTAAAAAACGTTAAGCCTAGAAGTGGAGGCTTATGTGGATTTTGTTATTCGTGTAGGAAGAACATTTCTATATATATATATATATATATATTTGTTGTGCTCGTATATACATACATAAATGTTCAAACAGTGCATATAAAAATATTTAATGTTTAGCATATTTGCCAGTTAACTTTAAATTAATTTACAGAATCCACAAATCAATCAAAAAATTTAAATCATATTAAATATATAAATTAGTCTCAATATCCATACAAAATTAATAAAATTATATCTATGAGATATAATGTATATATTACATTAACGCATCCAGAGATAATTGCAGTTAGGTTGAGACAGCATATGCAGACCGTTAATATGTTCTGGTATTGTTCTTTTTAAACCATTTGCTTTTCCAGATAAAGCTAAGTGCATCAACAAGTTTATTTTTAGTTTCTATGTCAGACCGTTAAAGTCACTTTATCTGTTGTCTAGGACAAAGACAGAGAAACTGTATAATGGATTATATCTCATTTTCATTGGAGCAATTACAAGTATATGAATTGCATATTTGCTCAACGCAAAACAGTTTTTTTTTTATATATTCTAGTATAATTTGGGCGATAAGGTTCTATCAATCTCAAAGTGAATAATAAATTTATCTATATTCCAAACAGTTTACACATTGGAGTTTTTATCGATGATTCAGTCTAAGTTTTGTATATTTCAGAACTTCATCCGTACAAATTGACTGCTATGTCGTTCCCTTCAATATTCCTATATCCAGGAACTTAGAAGAGCACAACTTCGTGATATACAATGTTCATCAGTGAGATATATCAGTTATTTTATTACATTTTCTAACTATAGTTAAAGCTATAATATTGTCGTTGCAACATAAAATAAATGAACAAATTTAATAACTTAAATAATATAGTTTTTAGGATTGCTTAAATAATTAATAAACCATTTAAATAAATAAAAATAAATTATTCATGTTTTTAAACATTTTTTATTATAAAATTAGCAAAATAAGACAACAGTGTATATTTAACTATATTAATTATTTAACACATCATATGATTTCATATTTTCATTTTGTACATTTTAAAAAAATAATTTTTATTTAAATTTGAAATATATTTCATTTTATATTCTCACTTCTGATGTAAAAGAGGCAGGATTATAGCATTTTTGTCTTCAGTGTGTAAATCTGGTATTTGATATATCATTGCATTTACCCTTTTAGCTCTCATCGTTCTTATTACCACTCTAAACGTGTTCTTCTGACACATCACGCAATTTATTGTCACCAGATGGCTTGGATTTGTCCAAGTTTATAGTAGTAATAGAAGGTATCGGAGCACGAAACTTGAAATAGTCGTCATCCAGAAAAGTATATAATTTTCCAGAAACGCCTTCTTTCTTATTTTGAATATTTTTGTTTATTGCACCACTGACAGAAGATTTAGAAGAAAGGTGAGACGTTTCGGGTGTTTTGAAATCATTGAATGATTTTGTTTTATTTTTGGTTTGAGCTGCAACATTTTTTTTTCTTTCAGCTTCTTTAACATGTTGTACCATACATTTTATTTCCTTTTCTACATTATCATCATTATTCCAATCGTCTAATCTGCATCTTTCACCCAAAGGCTTTAGTTTTGTCATTTTTTCAGTAGCTGTAATAGCAGCTAGTTTTTGTGTTTGCTTATCGTACAAACTCAAAGATGGTTTCTTCCCCTGAATTTCATGTTGTTTTGAAATGGTTTTTGGCATTATGGACCCAAATATGAAATTCCGACCCGGTTGTGCGTTCACAACTTCTTTTTCAAAATCAGTAATAGGCTTCCAGAAACTCATCGCTGATATAAACTAATACCATTAATTTTAATTTTTATTAAAAATTTAATCTTTTAACTTACTTGAATGATTATAAAAAATTTAAAGAAAAATTTTGTATTCAAAATCTGTTATTATATACTTTATTTTCATAAAGCCTAGTTTACTGCAATAACTTCGCTTGCGTTTGCTTAGCTAAGATACATGTGAAAAAAAAATTTATGTTATAAAAGGAGAAACAATATTGCAATAATTTAATGATAAATAACATTATTTTCAAAATAACATATATATACCATATACCAGTTATTTCAAATAAAACTGTTAACTAAATTTTGGTTTAGTACAAAACTGCATTTCAAGCACATTTGTACTTTGTTATGAAAACTGAAGTTTTTAACATAAACATAAAAATTATTGCATTTTAAGTATAGAGTATAGAAATATTTGCGGCTTTAGTTTTATTTATTGTCTATCACAATATTTTTCACAAGAAATTAGACTCGTATTGCTTCCGCTTTATTTATAATAACAAAGATACGAGCGCCATATAAACAAAACAACCGCAATATTCATCTACCTTATCTCAAAATTGCAATTGTTGCTTATTAACGTCAAATGGAGCAGTGCTGCCAAGTTACTTATTTATGCGAATTACTCTTTCAGTGTAGTAAACTGTAAAAAAAAATATTTGTTATTATAGTTTAGTAAATCACTTGAATTTATATATATTTATATATAATTTATATATTTTAATAGTTGCTTTCAGCAGATTTTAAGTGTGACAAAAAGCAAGAAGTCGCTTACTATAGGCTCTTAGCGAAATATTGGCATCATTGTTGCATTCTGTCAAATGTTATGTTTTCACAAGAAGCAAATCTTGCATATGTGCACATAATGTATACAAATTACTTTTTGCATAAAAATAAATTTTAAAACTAAAATTTAAAATTAAAATAAATAAAAGCAATGTTCAAGAGAGATATGCAGTATGCAATAAATATACAATTAATGCTTGTTTGTGCTTGAATAAGTTTTAACTTGTTAGCAACTAATAAGTTAAAAATTTTAAATCTCAACTATACTTACTTCACGTACTCCAAAAAATTGTTATATATTTTTATATATAATTATTTATAATATTTATTTATAACAGTTTTGTGTAATTTTAAAATATTTTACTTCCACATTTTTCAAATTTTTAATTTAATTTGAATTTTATTTTTTTAAAAACTTTTGACAGCTGATTGGAACACTTGTTGAAATTTCTTTCAAGGTTCACAATAGTTCGGTTATCGCTAAAATAAATAACTAAGGTCTTATACGGCGTTTACATTGGCCGAAAATGGCTCATTTTGGTCAAAAATCGAAAATGAGTATCGAATGGCTCATTCTTGCATATAAAAATTTCAAGCCACAAAAATGAGCAATTTCTCACATTCTGTATGAATGACGTTCGAATGCATTTCCACATACTTCCAATGCAAAGGAATCCATTGAACATACCCTAAATGAAAGCTCTTCATGGCATTTTGACAGTTTGAAAAAAGCTGTTTTTAACATATTTACAAAAAAAGGTAAACAAATGTTTGGTGGTTGCATTTTCTTGAAAACGATGCACTGCTTTTTAGAACTTTTACTTCCCAAAAAGTAATTTATCGAAGTTAAAAATATGTTTTAAGTTTCTAATGTAAGGTTTGAAGGCATATTTAACCTTCATGCAACATTGTTTTGGCACAGGCCAAAAATCAAATCAACATGCAAGTTGAAAAATCAGCTGTTGAAATGAGAACAAATGAAATAGAACGAATGTAAACACTTTCAAATGGCTCATTCGAAATGAGCCATTTTCGGCCAATGTAAACGCCATATAACAAATACGCCACTCACATTACAAGCTGATCTATTGTGAATGATTTTTAAAAGAAAATGGCATATTCCAGTCCGATGACAGAAGTTTGCTTATTATTTATAAATTAATAAATTTAAATCTTAAAAAAAAGTGTTGTCAAAAGAATACAATGTTAAAGTTTTAAAACTTTTTTCATTTTATATTTAATTTAATTTAAAATTAAAATATTCAAATTTAAATATTTAAACTAAATATTATCAAGATAGACTTAAACAATATCCAACTCAAAGCAATAATTATTAAGTTATTTTTTCGCAACAAATTGTTCAACTGAAATATAAATTATATAGTATTCTTGAAGAATGAACGTATATCCTTTTCTTACAACGCCTAGATATGTTTACATTGTTAATGAGCCAAATTATGACTTTGTAAAAGCATTGAAAGTTAATTAATTATAATTAATGAGGTTGATGGCTCATAATTATTACATATTGTAAGGTGATGGACACATGTTAATAATGTAGAAATTATAAGGTTTCTGCAATTCAAAGTGAATATGAAAGCAGTAGAATGATATTTTTAATTATGATTAAGGATGCCTCAATGAAATTGTTTGAGACATGAAATTAACTTTATATTGATAGCATACATTTCTTGAATATGTAAAGGAGCATTCTTATACATACCCAGTAGAAAAAGTGGTCTTCGAAGACATTGTCTTCAAGACGGTCTTTGATACCGCGTCCGCATGTTCAAGCAAATTTGCAAAACAATTGCTCAGAACATGAATGTAAATACTCTTTCTTTGCTTTCTCTCTCATTTTTAGTGTTCATAGCAACATATTTGAATTTTGCCTCAGATGACGCTATGTTTTATAAGCGAAGTGACGCAATAATTTTGAAGTGTAGTGAATAAACATTTGTGAAATAAATATTAAAAAAATCAAAATGAATAAAGAAACAAAATCATTAAACTATGAAATATTAAAAAAAAGAAATTAAATCAAAACAAATGAAATATTGACTTAGTTCCTGGAAAATATATTGATATTAATATTAAAGACAATAATTCCAGTGAAAGTTGTTTAAGAAACAAAACAAAGGATGTTGAAAATAAAAAAACTAAAAACACTTGTGAAAAATTAGCTGTTATATTAAAAAAACACAGGATTAACAGGCATTGTGGTAATGATATTTTAGAACTCTTAAGATCAGAAGGTTTAATTGTACCAAAATCCTCTTCAACGCTTTTGAAAACATATAAAACTTCAACAATTGATGATAGCGAAATGCTATAAATTATTTTATATTAGTTTTAGTTAATTTTAGATATGTTAAGTTATATTAAGTTAATTATTTAAATTAATTTTCATTATGTTTACTAGTTTTTACTAGTTAATTATTAATATCTTAATAAAATTTATAATAATTTATAATAAAATTTATAATTTATTTTTAAAACTTTTAATTTTGAATGTAATTTAAGAAATTATTATATAAAATAAATAAAAGTACAAAATACAACAATTTCTTTCTACTTATTTAAAGAGAAAATTGAAATTCATTTAAAATTTAAAGAGCGCAATAAAAGAGTAAAAATAAAAAAAAGGGTGAAAAAATTATATGAGCACTCCACTAAGAGCGCACAACTTTCTGTCGAATGCGTCCGTTATGCAAGACATGGTCTTCGAGACGGTCTTCGAGACATGTACACAAAAATTCATTGAAGACATTTGGCTAATTTGTATGAAAGTGTCTTCGAAGACCGTCATACATTTGGATCGATCGGTCTTCATGTATGTATCCATGTCTTGAAGACGTCTTCGATGACGGATCGATCCG